CCCCATGTCCACTCTGGGAAAGACTGGCAAACTACTCGTGAGTATATCCAGCCTACACGTTAAGAGCCCAGCAAGCTATACGTGGGTGTAAAATGCTGAACGCAGTAAAAAAAACGGCCTTATTTCTCTGACCCCGAAGAAGCTCCCAATTTAGCAGCATTGGGTAGGACGAGTACGGAGAGGCTGCTGAAATCTCAGGGCCAATGGAATCTACCTGGATTTTAAAAAACTGTGATGACCATATGTACCTACAATGCACGTACAGTTGCATCCGAGCACTCGATAGAAGACTTGCTCATGCAAGCAAGAAGGATAAGGTACGACGCCATCGACCTGGCCGAGACGAGACGACGCCATCCATTCAACAACGTCTATGACACCGGAGAAGAACTGCTTCTCGGAACATGCATCAGTAGAGGAGTCGGAGGCGTCGGCGTTCTCGTCAACACGAGTTTGTCCGTGAACATTCGCACAACTTCCAACCCGAATCGGACGTTTACGATTAAAAAGACGTGGATCAATTTCGGCCTTGACAATCTTCGTCGTTTACGAGCCGACGTCAAACTACGACGAAGAAGAAGTGGAGGCGTTCTATGTAGACTTGGAGAAGTTCTACAGAGAATACCACACATTCTTCAAAGTCACCATTGGAGATTTCAACGCCAAGATTGGACCAAGAAGAACGTCACATTGGGATCCGCGGATTAGAATGGAACGAACAGGGTGAGCGGCTGTCTGAGTTTATCATAACGATCAAGACCAATCCATAGTAACTCGCAATTCCAGAAGCCGCCCCCTCAACGCTGGACGTGGGAGTCCCCAATGGAGAGTACAATAACGAAATAAACCACATCATAGTAAAAAGAAGGTTTTGGGTATCCAATGTCGCTGCTGTCCCAAAATTTTACACGGAATCAGATCATCGCCTCCTTCGTGCAAGATTCTATTTTTCGCGGAAAGGAGAAAAAGACGCTAAATTTTAAAACCGAAGTCTCAAAACCACCGCAAATTGGGACTTATTCAGTTCATTAGTCGGCTATTGGGGAGATACCGTTGTCGATAATATCGACGAAGAAAACGATCGGCTCATTCAATATCTTCACGCTAGCGCTATGAAAGCTCTGAGTTGGAAAGTCACCAAGAGACGTCTGTCTCCAGAAACGCTCGTGCTGATACGCCAGCGTGGAATCGCACGAGCTGCAGGCAACTGCGAATTAACGTCCGAACTTGCAAAACAGTGCAGACAGGCGATAAAAGAAGATTTTAAAAAAGAAAAGCAGCACTAATGATCGATGTTGCAGAACCTGGGAAAAAAATTCGCAAAGGCCACCGAAGCTTCGCCAATAACAAGACCGAAATAATTGGACTCCGGCGCCCAGACGGAACAGTTTAAACGTCCAGAAAGGCGATAGAGAAAATCATTCACGAATATTACTCGGATCTCTTTGATAGCTACGTCCACCTTCTATCATATAAAGTAAAGGAGGATGGATATGTTGTACCACCGGTTCCCGCTTCCGAAATCCGATATGCCGTTTCGTCGGTGAAGAATAGAACAGCACCAGGTCCGGACAGGACATGATCTGAACACTTAAACAACCTTCCGCCAGACCTCGTAAACACACTGGCTCGGCTCTTCACACGTTACCTGTCTGAATGCAAGGTCCCTACTCAGTGGAAGACCAGCAAAGCGTGTTATTGTTTAAGAAAGGTAACTTGCACGATATCGGCAACTATCGCCCAATCTGCTTACTGTCTGTCGTTTACAAACTTTTTACTCGAGCCGTCCTAGACAGGGTTGACAGAACGCTGGACGAAAGACAGCCGTGTTAGCAAGCAGGGTTTCGAAAATGATGTAATACGATGGACCGCATCCACACGGTAACACGGCTCATTAATGTATCACGAGAGCACAAAAGACCGCTCTGTCTCACTTTCAATTTACAGGAGACCTTTGATTTGACTGGGATAGAAGCAGTCATGGAAGCCGTTGACAGTCAAGGAATCCCTACTCAGTCCATAGAGATTCTTCGTGAGCTGTACAAAAATTTTGCAGTCATAATATAACCATTCTACAATGATATTGACATCGTCGTCAAAAGAGGAGTTAGCAAAGGCGATACCATCTCGCCAGAATTATTTACCGCCACCCTCGAGAACGTCATGCAAACATTGGAATGGGATAATATGGGATTGAAAATCGATGGTCGGCAATTGCACCATCTTCGCTTTGCTGATGACATCGTCCTTATAACACCAAACAGACATGTGGAACGTATACTTGCCGACTTTGATAAAGCCTATTGGAAAGATTGGCCTTCAACTAAATCTCACAAAAACGATGTTTATGAAGAACGGATTGGTTTCGCATGCCCCGTTCACGCTCAACGGAACGAATATCTCCGAGTTCTCCAGCTATATCTATCTAGATTGGGAAATCAATATGATGAACGACCCAGCTCTAGAGCTGATCAGTAGGAAACGAGCTGCTTGGGAAGCTTTCAAGAGCATCGACGATGTAGTAAAGAGAACAAAGAACACCCGACTCCGTACCCACCTTTTCGACTCAACGGTACTTCCTGCCCTAACGTATGTGTCAGAAACCTGCTCGATGGGTAAGCAGGACAAAGAAGACTAAGCGTTATCGAACGCGTACTCGAAAGGGCGATGCTAGAAGTATCCCGTTTCACACAAGTAAGGGTTGGGATCCGAAGCTCCGATCTGCGTCAACGATCGAAAATCAAAGATGCCGTTCTGTACGCCAAACAATCGAAGATAAGGTGGGGTGGACACGTGATGCGTATGAATGGCAACCGATGGACAGGAGCCGTTAGTGACTGGATTCTCCGGGTTGTCGAACGTGCTGCAGTAAGATCATCGACTCAATGGTCAGAGTTCCTCACAAACAGCCTTGAAGAAAGTTATGATGCTCGACAAATCCCTAGAACGAGCAGAACCCACTGGGCTACTCTTGCACGCGACAGGGAAAATGGAAGATTTACTGGCGCCCGCTCGATTCACTCGACGATCAACGGGACCACGGGTGACAGGTGATACAGGTGACGTAATGGTAATCATAGTTCAGAAGTTGATAAATAGTTTAACCTAAATGTCACTTGAGATCTTGAAATGAAAGCACAAGAGAATGTTTATCCTAATTTACTTTAATTAGTACATCGTCGAGTGTTCTACTATACTTCTGAAGTCTGATTCAAATGCTTGTTGAAAATTTCGGAGTTTTCTTGATACAACGAGCCTAAGCCAAATGTGGCTCAATGAATGACAAGAATTATCTTTCACGGATAGGAAAAATGAAAGAACGTTCAGAAATTGGTTGCGCAAAGACGGATATGTGAAAGAAAGACTTGTGTATTCTCTAAACCAAAAATCGTACTAGCTGTCTATAAATGTGAACATTGGAGATAATCTTGGTATGTAGCCGAAACAGTGATCTGCCTAATGGTTTTTTTTCCGATTGGGCAGTACCTGAACTTTCTTACTCCACGGTTAATGAGGAGGAATTTGTACAGCTTGCTGTTTGCGTACGTCGTCGAAGATTGAACTACCTCGTTTTCGTCTTCGTCTAATTCTACCGTAGAACATATGAGTTATTTAAAAGATCGACTTCCTATAAACCTAGGCACAATAATCGATATATCCATACATATGCTCTTGCAAACTACCTTGTTTAGCTAACGAGACGTTGTTATAGGTTTTTATTGTTGTCGTCGTTGTTGTTCGATAGCTAACGTTTCAGCTACTTCGACTTCCTCAAAGCACGGGCGTACCATATGTTACAGTATGACGTAACAGTATTAGTTAATCGTTCCAGTGGTTTCTACTTGCATAGAAGAGAATAACCTCGAGAAATGCCATATTTTCCATTGCGATGTTGCCTTCTGAGGGTTTCTTGCAGTGTGCTGAGTAGAATTTATGTTTTATTTAATTTAAAAGCTGAGCTTAAAAGTAAAACATAGCAAAGTGCATCAATAAGTTTTGGAAAACGCACTAACACAAGCACTGGGCTTCTCGGAGCATAAAACATCTTTAATAGGAATTACTTTGCTTGTAATTGAACCAACCGAGAGACAGGCGAAAAGAAGGGCCTGTATGGTGTGGTGGTGAACGCGTTAGCCCCGGAAAGAGTAATAAAGTGTTCGTTCACCATCGCAGACACCTGCGGTCCGGAGTTTCGCAAATAACTCAGCACCTTTGTGGTTGTGTCTTGCTATCTTCAGTGGTTTAGTCTTTTGCTCAGATTATTTTCTATGAGATAAAATGTTCTAGCACTAATCATTTATATCCGCCACTACAAAAGCTTTCATTTGTTAATTGTCGTTTTTTATTTGATTGATGTTATTTTATGCCTTTCTTTATGCAAGCTGCGCTTTTCTCCCTCCTGCTCACGAACCGCTAGAGATTTTTCCATTCTCTCTTCTTCCCATCCTTTCACCACGTTTGCCTCTTGCTTCCTCCTATCCTGTTGATACAGGTGTTTTGTTTAGCAATGTGATATGGTAATGGATTGGATCTATTTATAAAAAGAGCTCGGTCCACTATAATTCTTATTAGATATGTCGTTTTGAGGGTTCGATTCCCCTCTCTATTCCTAGGTTATCACGAAAATTAAGTAAATACGAGATGACCTTATTATAATCGTTACTTTTTGTTGTCACCCATTATGCGTGTTCTTACCTTTAGATGGATATCTTTTCCCTTTGACATCAAAGACAATTAAAGCTTGACTGCTGAAGAAATTTTATATTGTTCCTCGCTGTTTTGTTGATCCGTGAAGGGTTTCTATAGTCCATAAAGAATGAAATATTTGACATGGTCAATTATCCTATAGAACTAGTGAGTGTCTATGGAAATCTCTAGAGAAAACGGAGTATACAGCAGTCAAATTAGGTACCTATTTTGATATGAAAGGTAGATTTTCAGCCTTTCCGAATTGTTTCTATTCAAATCGATTTCTTACGTGGCTTGTTATTTCAGATTTTATGAACGATTGGGAAATCGGCGGCACACAGAACAAATGGGTTTGCCCAAGTGATCGACATCTACAATTGCGAGCACAGTTAGTTCCCTTTTTCTTGTTTAGAATAAGAAGTGAATATTCTTTTGGATTGCATGTGGCGTAGTGGTTAGAGTGCTCTGCAATAACATACGGTGTTTGTAATAAATCCCATGATCTACTTTCTATTAGCCTCGGCATTGATCAAGGCCTCCTTAAAAATTTTTTGTGTCGAGTCATCACTTCAAATTGTGATGATAGCACAATTTTAACTTTCTTTATTTGCTGCCTATTAAAATTTTTCATGGCAGCGTCTTACGTGTGATACAACCACAATGATGCTGAGATATGTGCAAAACTGCACAGAGTAATACATGGTCGATAACTGTGTCCATGTCAGGTCATTGGATCAGCCTGAGGTCTTGCAATGATGCTAAGATATTTGCAAAACTGTGGACCGCAGGTGTCTGCGGTGGGGAACGAACGCGCCATTGCTCTTTCCGGGGAATAACGCTTTCACCACCACACCATGCGGGTCCTTCGCTTCGCCTGTCTCTCAGGTAGTTCTATCTGTTCTATTTGGACTCCCCAAATCAATTTCGTTGACGGGTGATTGCTGACGGCACAGATCGATAGGACAAGTTGAACGAAAAGCGAAACCAAGGACCCGCATGGTATAGTGATGGTGTAGTGATGAGTGCGTTACTCCCTGAAAGAGTAATAGCGCGTTCGTTCCTCACCGCAGACACCTGCGGTCGCAAGTTTTGCAAACATTTCAGCATCATTGTGGTTGTATCACACGTAATACCCTGCCGTTAAAAATTGTATTAAGCAGTAAATAAAAAAAACGTTGTGATTTTGTCTACGGCCTCAGCCTAACTGGGTTCGTTGACGATTTAGGCTCCCTAGACCAGTCACGTTGACGGATAATCGCTTATGGTACTGATCGATAGAACTAGCTGAGAGACAAGCGAAACGAAGGACTTGCATGGTGTGGTGGTCAATGTGTTTCTCCCCGGAAAGGACAATAGCGCGCTCGTTCCCCACCACAGACACCTGCAGTTCGGAGTTTTGCAAATATCTCAGCATCGTTGAAGTTATATTTCGCAATGCACCCTGCCATTAATAAGAGTAGGCAGTAAATAATATGTTAAAATTATCTCAGCACCATTGTGGTTGTGATGGATGAGAAGAATGGTGAGCAATATGCAGCGTGCTCTACTTCATTTTCTTATGGCTATGTCTTCATTATTAAGAATCTTTGACGATAGCAAAGAAAAAGTTCTTGCAAAGACCAAAATCTAACAAGGGCGTTTGGCACGTTATTTGTAAATTAATAAGGATATCCGAAGTGGTTTATCATTTAAACAAACTAAACAATGTCCCATGACCGACTTTCTGTTAACCTCGGCATTAATTGATAATTCAATGTTTTTCATCAATAAGCAGACACGAGGTTGTTAGTATAGAATTTATTAGAACACAATGTCCACAAATGACAGGATTTTGAAGGATAAAGCGTTCGTCTTTAATCATTTCCTAGAGGATGCACTGTGCATTCGACTTCCAGTAATTATCGCTATAGATGACTTAATTCATATCTGGCCTGCATAGTGACTTCTTAGATGTTTCGATGGTTTTATAAGAGCGGGATATAGGGTCGATCCAGAGCATATTACAGGGCCTCTCTAACCATTGTGCCACACGTACCCTTTGCAAAAGATGCAAAAAGATATAGCTAAGAAACTATCTTTGTGGTCTGTTGACGTTTTCTATGAGGTATGTGCTTACGTCATATTCCGTCCTTCAATACACAAGGACAAATTCCGATGGTTAAAGTTGGATAGCATGTGATATTCATTCCAATTCGCTACATTTTTCGACATTGTCGCAATTATCCGTACTATTTTGAAAAAATGACTTTGAGTGTCTTTGTATGCTGCTATAATGGACGGCCACGAAGAAATACCATCTCCATAACAGTTTAACTCTCAAGAATGTCTAGATATGAGCAAAACTCGGAACCTCGTGCGGTCTTCGAACACGCAACTATTACCGGAAGCTCACGCGCTCTCCACTTTACCAACCGCCGCCAATGCTCTGCTTTTCATTAACCTTGTTGAGAGTAAAATAAGAGTAAAAAAGTAAAAAGTAAGTAAAGTAAGTATAAAGTATAAAGTAGTAGTATAAAGTAGTAATAGTATAAAGTAAGTAAAAGAGTAAGAGTAAATAGTAATAAGAGTAAAATTGTGTTTGAAGTCCAACTGAGGTTTTGAGTTTCCCTCATATCTCAACATCCATGTGCTTGTATTTGACATAGTACCGTACCATAAAAAAAGAATAGGCGGTAAATAAAAGTTAGAACTTTCACCTATTATTTCAGTGATATCGAATAGAGCGTCGTCGCTACCATACTTTTTCATTTAAATAAGTCGTCTTCGCTCCCAAAAACGACGCCGGTTTCGAGAAATCATGTCAATCCCTCGAATGCTCTTATTCTACCCTCCTCCGTTTATTCCGGCTTTCACACATTTTTTCTTCTTTAAAAAATGTTTCTAAACAGTTTGCTTTTGGAACGGACGTTCAAAAAAGTTTTTTAGGATTTGATATTTTCAGTTGATTGCAGACTTCGGAAAAGGATGTAGCTATAGAATTTCTTGCGCGTTAGGAAACATTACTACTCGATATTTTAGATAAAATAGCAAATCAATTAAAATATGTAGTAATTCCCATGACCGACTTTCTGTTAACCTCGGCATTAATTGATAATTCAATGTTTTTCATCAATAAGCAGACACGAGGTTGTTAATATAGAATTTATTAGAACTCAATTGCTGACGTTTCGGCGGTTTCGCCTTCTTCAGAGCCTGGAAAGGTCAAATTGAGATGCGATCTACTCAGCCAAACACTTTCATAACCCTAGCAGATAAAACTTGATAAATCGATTTGTGTTCGCATAAGAAACAGCTTCATTCAATTTATCAAGTTTTATCTGCTAGGGTTGTGAAAGTGTTTGGCTGAGTAGATCACATCTCAATTTGACCTACCTTTCCAGGCTCTGAAGAAGGCGAAACCGCCGAAACGTCAGCAATTGAGTTCTAATAAATTCTATATTAACAACCTCGTGTCTGCTTATTGATGAAAAACATTGAATTAAAATATGTTTATGGTGATACATCCTGTCCTTTTAATGGGAATCCTCTAAAACCTTTCAAGTACTTCTGGTACTCTAATAGTAGTACTTCAGCAAGAAATAGCTATTGCGCTTTTGTTCACAGCTTTCCAGTCTTTGATATTTCAACTGTATGGGGGATCTTAGCTGTGGATCCGATTAAGTCGTTAAAGGCGATATTGACTTACTTTGATTTTAGTTCGCGAAAGAAAAAAGTTACACAGATATTTGAAGAGTCATGAAAGTTAGTAAACCCACTTTCACTTAACCTCGGCGTGAGTAATCAATAAATTTCCTTGCATTTTTCAACTTACACAGGATTGTTATGCAAGTTTTATTCTGCTAACGTTTCGATGTCTTATTCAATCATCTCGGCCGATGATTCGAGTCGATGGTCTTCAGCCGTTCGTCTTCCCTATGTTCCGTCTTCGCCGTCGTCTCATGCTGAATCTTCAGTGGAGCGCCGCTCGAACGAGCTGGCAGCGCTGTTTTATACAAGACTTTTGTTGATGATAATGATTGTTTCTTGGTAATAATTTTTTTTTCCAACGATCAGTCAATCCTGCAGCAGTAGGTATTAGAACATCTTGCACATGGTGAAATAAGGAAATAAAATAAGGGGGAGCGTGTAGCGCAGTGGTCAATGGCTTTGCTTCGTTTAACATCTTCAACCCCTCAAGGACGGCCTGTCTTTTTGACCCTTCTTATCTTCAAGACTCCTTTTCATCACGTCACATTTTAAACAAACTTTTAAGTCAATCCTTTTTTAATAATCTAATTTGCTACCTATAACATTTTTCTCATCCTACTAAGTCAGTGTTTGTATCTCGACTACTTTGTATGATTTTACGCTTGCGATTGAATTTGTGAAAAAGAAACTGCTCACTTTTATTTAATTTTCATCTTTTTTCGCGGGTGTGGTTCAGTGGTGGGAGGCGCCTTGCAACACGCACATGGATTCAGTCATCTCCAAACGATGCTTAATGACATCGAATTCATGGTGCGTCTCTCCAGGATTGATCAACGCCGAGAGCTTATTACCCTTCTACATCTTTTATAGTGGCTTATTTTAAACTCAAAATATTCTAAGAACGGAATTATTACCATAGAAGCACAGGGGGAAATCTGCTGTTTAAGATGAATTGAGGCGATCTCATTGGTAGAAAATTCCACTGATCAAAAATAGCAGGGAGCTTACAGATTACAAAATCTTGCATTTCGTACTAAACAACCTACTATTGTCGAAATCTAACAGTAACTGTTGGGCTGCCTAGTTTTTCACTAATTCAACGTCACCCGATTTTATGTCGTTTCTAAGAGAAATCCATAATTTTTTGAAGTAAACGAATGAAGGCTTCTCCGTATTCTTGTTAAGCAAAGTCGAGGTGTTATTTTATTCTTTATTCACGAACAAACTGACGTTTCAGCGGATTTCGCCTTCCTCAGAGCCTGGAAGGGTCAAGTTGACAGCAATCAATTCGGCCAAACACCTCCATAACCAAACAGAGAAAACGCTAAACCAAGATTTCGATCACATTTAACACAGCTTTGCAGACTCACCGCTTTCTATGAGGCTTCCACTGAATATGTCGCGTGGAGACCAACCACACAAAATTCACGTAGAAGCGTAATGTGCATCTCACATCAAAACAACAGTCTCAACAGTACTTCTTGATTCTTGTGCGAGGATCGTGACACGTGCTTCAAAGTCCTCCCCGTTATGCCTCTGGGTTCTAAGCGTGCCTAGTAGGGTATTTGGTTTACGTTTACCGACTAGGCGTTCTTTTATGCGGATCAACAAGAATGCGAAGAATTACTTGATCAATGCCGAGATTAATAGAAAGTCGGTCGTGGGATTTACTATGAAGGTTTTTTGGATGCAAACCAAAAGTAATGGAAATAAGCACCATTCCACTTGACTTCTATTACGAAGCGTTGAAAGTTGGTTATTATTCCTTACTAATGTTGTTTATTGAAATTTAGTACTTTTTCCATTAAAATAATATTTTTTTCTAAAAGAATATAGGGCTGTGTGGTTCAGATTGAAATCGGGATGGTCCGTTCGAACGGCGACCGCTCGTTCCCCAACGAATTCCAGGGGCAACTCTGCAATCACCGAAGCCGAACAGGAGCATATTAAACAGGTGGCAACTTTATGTCTTCTTCTTATATGAAGAAAAATTTTTAAAAACTAGGAAAAAGGTTTACATTATCAATCAGTCATATGAAAATACGTAGATGAATGTTAGAGTAAAGAACACCATTTTGTTGTCCTGAAAAGTTACTGTTATGAAAAGTGGGATTTTGTAGAAACGTCTACTACTAAAATGTTGAGATATTTTTTTTTACTTCACTGGCATTTATAGTCGGTTTCGGAGCTCTTTGTGCTCTCTTTGTCTTCTTTTCCTTTCTGGATCTACTTTCTGTTAATAACACAATGAAGTTTGTACCTGGTTCGCAAATTTCTTACGATACAAATGGCGTTTATCTCACACCGAAAATTATGTCGTTAGACCAAATATTCATGCTTATGAACCCACTAGAATTCACGATACTTGGGAATGTTTATACGTAGAGGATGTGATGAAGGCTGCTAAGAAATTTGGGAATCAAAAAAGTGAAGAACGTAGTTGGAAAGATTAGATAAAACGATTTCATTTCAAAGATGCTGAGATATTTGCAAAACTCCGGACCGCAGGTGTATGCGGTGGAGAACGAACGCGCTATTTTCCTTTCCAGGGAGTAACGCGTTCACCACCACAAGACGCGGGTCCTTCGTTTCGCTTGTCTCTCAGCTAGTTCTATCGGTCTTTTGCCATCAGCAATCACCCGTCAGCGGGATTGATCTAGGGGCCCAAATCGGTTCTATCGATAATAAGTTAAAATTGTGGTTATAACTGCGGCCTCAGCTTAACTGGGTTCGTTGCCGATTTGGGCCCCCAGATCAATCCCGCTGACGGGTGATTGCTGATGGCAAAAGATCGATAGAACTAGCTGAGAGACAGGTGAAACGAAGGACCCGCGTGGTGTGGTGGTGAACGCGTTACTCCCTGGAAAGGAAAATAGCGCGTTCGTTCCCCACCGCATACACCTGCGGTCCGGAGTTTTGCAAATATCTCGGCATCATTGAAGTTATATTTCACAATGCATACTCTGCCGTTAAAAAGAGTAGGCAGTAAATAATATGTTAAAAAACGACTTCAGTTAAGGAGCAGACGTAAACTGAAACAATAGGACGACAATAATACTGAGATATTTGCAAAACGTGGATCCGAGGTCAAATTCAAACCCACGACTACCCTTTCCCGGGGCTCCTGCAGTACTCGTTGCGCCATTTATACTCTCGTTCTGCCTTCCTCTTAGGCAGTCTTTGTATGCTAACGTTGCCCACAGCAATCATTTGTCAACAACATTTTGATTTCAATATTGGATGAACATTGTGATTTAGACTAAATCCGCAACTTAACTGGGTTCAATGCTGATTTGTTCTTTCGAGATTATTCCCGTTGATAGTGGTTGCTAGTGGCAGCGTTACGGTTAAAAAAAAAACTTGCTGAGAGAACGGCAAAGCAGGAGCATCAATGGTGCAGTGGGTTGCACGTGAGTAGCCGGAAAGGGTAATAGCGAGTTCACATCTGGCCACCGGTCCCAGTTTTGTAAATATCTCAGTATTATTGTCATTGTATTTCACATAATACCCTGCCGTGAAGAAGTAATGTGCGGTGGATAAAAAGTTAAACATTAAAGCAACAGAAATCGTATTTTCAATGCACCGAAGAAAATATCTTCACAAAATCCCAGTTGTCAAACAAAACCACTTATTATCTGCATGGATTTCGGTAGCTATCCACCTCTCGTAGAGGTTTTCTCTTGTTTCTTGTTCTCAGTACTGTCTTAGTTAATCTTTGTCCTTTTCTTTTCGTCGTGCGAATAATTTTTCACTTCCTTTCATGATTTTAGGTACTGGCGAAAGCTGAGGCTAGCCGATCAAAAGAACAACAGCGATTAGGGTACGCTATCAATTTTGAATTTTTATCCTATCTTTTTTTGTAGAGAAGCTCGCTTAGGAAAAATTTCACTAAAATCCTTAACATCCTGGATACCTTTGTGTTCCTGATGGACTGAGAAGGGGTTTTAAACAATACAGCGTTTATTTTGTTTCACAATGGTTAACATTTTCGCTACTTCTGGCTTCACCGAACCCTGGAAAGGAATATATTAACATTTAGCCTAGTGATTAATGTGGTTCCATAATTTCAATAAAAATCGGCTATGAAAATTCGAAGACGGCTTAGTTAACGCCGATTATTTTTCAGTTGCCTAATTTCTTTAAGGCTGAAACCACTTCTATAATGCTCATATAGGAAGCCAGTGCAGAACAAGAGAAATTAGTCCAAAGTGTCCGGCCAGATCGTATGTGAGCTGTTTCGAAGCAGTCGTCCTTCTGGTTCATCCTGCATTTCAAAAGTCGGTCGGAAACGTCTGAGGACTGTAGAGCAGGTGTCAGAGGCGGCACGCAGTGCACATGGCTTTTTGTTTGATTCGTCGCCCACGACTGACCAAGCCACCCATTCTTTCTCGCTCTGCGGTTTGGTACCAATTTTGTCTTAGAGGATAAAAACGCTGAATCCGTACAAGTAGGCCATCGCCACCCATTTCACCAATTTGCATTTAATCATCAATACGATGCTAAGAATGAAGTCGAATGCATGGCGCATCTCTAGATTTGTATTGATCAACTCCTAGTGATTTGTTCTTTGGGTTTGTACCACACTTTTTCTTTCATATAACCTGTCCTTTACATCTACTGTGTGGATCCTAGCAGTTTTTGTCTTCGACTCGTTTGATGGCATACATTATCCACGAACGTCTTCCCACTTTTGCGTAAGGCTTCAGCTGCTGCATGAGGATTATTTCAACTTTGTCACGAGTGCACTGGAATGCTAGATTCAGCCCGGAATCATGAGGTGTCTGTGCTAGAGCGTTCTCCTGTTGAATTGCAGTGAACGAACTATTCCCAGAGAAGTTTTGAGCTAAGTTTCCAAGCTCAGAGGGTGAAAGGCTTCATGAGCCCGGAACGGGGTTAAACCAGCACTGAGGTTGTGATGATGGGCATCGCTGCCATAGTACTCGCCTCCTTTTACTGCACTGCTTCTCCAATGCGGTTTAATTGAGTACATGACGGAACGAAGCACAATTTTTGTATACTTCGACCTTAAATAGACTTTTTCTTTTCTTAAATCTCTAAGGAATAACATTTAAACTTGGACAATAAAAATGAGCAAAAAGGGTAGAAGGTAATTAAGTTTAAACACAGCTATTACAGCCTTTTGTACGTCAATTGTATAGGTGGTCATAAACGTGCTTGAATAATTTTCAAGGTCACCTACCACTTCATTTTTGGGACAAGCTAGTACCAATGGCACCACTAGTACGAAATTTTGACTACCAGTTCGCTCATATTTCTAACATTTACTTTTACTTGGACTCCGGAAAAATTTAAAATAGTAAAGCCTTTCGCTTGCCGAGTCCTGTTTACAGATGGAATTCGTTAGGCACTTGTCTACTCGCTCTTGCCCAGTAATTCCATTAGTGACGGGGATTAATGAAGACATATTAGTGTCGACGTTGCCGTTGTTAGCCTAGTCACATCTGGGGTATTCGAGGCACTTAGTCAAATTTTGGCATTCGAGTCCTTCACAGTCTCCTACTAAAGCTACGAACGCTGCTCCTTTCCCGAGAAAATCTCACATTTGGTTTTTTTCTTAACGAAGCAAACAGCTAACAAACATAACAATAACTGCGATGCCCACAAAGTTTTATTCTCCTGACTGCAACACATACGAATCCTGCCCAATACTGGCTGTCGTCGAATATTCGTTTGTTAGAGTTCGATTTTGTTTACCGTTATTTGTAGAAAATCTAGAAGTGATGGCTTTAATTTGGTTAACACCATGGTTTAGCCGTCGTAGAATTTAAAAACAGTTCAGAGCATGATATTAATGAAGATATGATATTGAAGAGTGTGTGTGGGGCAGTAGTCCGAGGCACCCCGCAGCATACACGTGGAATCGATCCAGCTCCCATGCCCCACCAACCCTTCCATCTCTCTGGAGTTGGTAAACTGGTGCCAAACTGGTTTGGAAGGATAGCGGCACTGGGTCGACATATCGGTAGGCCACGGCGAGTCATTGTAAAGGCCGGATATTCACCCAGTAACCTCCAGACGTTGCTTAATGAAGTCAAATGGATGACGCATCCTTCAGGGATTGATCAAAGCCGAGAGCTTTATTCTTTACCCTCTATGATATCGAGGACATGATATTCTTCCACTGTAAGCGACTTCGTTATTCCTTTTGTAATAGAATTATCAATAGCAGCTTAGTTCATATTGACATCACCTTTATATAGTAAAATGTTATGGCTAGTTTATAAATTAGCGTTAAGACTAAATGTGAAGTCGGTTTAATAGTTACACCGATAACCTGTCTGCATATTCGGTTCTGGTTCACATGCCAGAAAAGTCAGTAGTGCCTTCGTAAAAAATTCCACAGAAAAAATTCACGTCCAACGGGTTATTTCTTCAGAACCTCATAGAAACCTCTAAAATATTTCCTATATGCTTTTTATTAGACAGATCGATTGAAAACTTCAGAAAGATGGTTGACCGGCTTGAGAAAATGCGACGACGTGCCACCGGTAACGGCGTCACCCACTGTCTGTTGTGCCACACCGAATTCGGTCTCTTGTCTTCCAAAAGCTATGCAGCGATGTGTGTGGACTGCAGGAAGGTTGGCTTTCTGTCCATTTTTCCTTTGTCGTTTTTTCTTTCTCAAAGAATTTGTGATTTAGAGAATTTTGCCTTAGCATCCGAACTAATTGACAGTTCAATATGCAGGCTATCGAAACAATAACAGATTTGTTAGTAATCAAGAAATAGTAGAGTTCATCTTCTGACGATTTGTTCAGTGAGGATGAATTATCGTCGGCCATTGAATCAATATGACAGCAGTTGAGAATCGGTAGCATTCGCTTAAAGTTTCATTTAGACATCAACGAGCGAAGAAATGAAATTCGCCGACGCACCCACGTGATGAATTAAAGTACCATCGAAAAAAGATAACTAATGGAAAACATAGTATTAGACAACTTTAAGCACGACAGCTTGGAGGGCGTGCAAGAAGTCGGGTGAAATATCTATAAACGCAAATATATCTGGAGCTTACCACATCTCTTCAACACCGAGAATCTCGAAAAATGGCATACTTGGCTTATCAGGCGTGCCCTCCAAGTCTTCGCGAACGTTATGCTAAAGAGAAATCAATGGCTTTCAATTTGAATCTAAGAAAGTTGGATTCTCGGTGATATTCTACTGACTGTACGAAATTGGCACCTTTGCCTAGGTTACAAATATCAGTCGAAAACACCACCTCCCTCTTGTTTTAACTTTTGTAGCTTACAAAAGAGCGTTTGAAAGCATTGTTCATACCACACTTTTGGAAAGCATAGTGAACCAAGTACTATGCCAGTCCTTCATAAGAACTTTACCCCTTGCTACCACAACGGTACCAGGCCATTATAATGTTTTAGCTTTTATTTACTGCCAGTTCTTTTTTATGGTAGGGCAATAAAGAATAGGCAATAAGTGAGAGTTAAGACAGTGTGATTTCGACTGCAGTTTCACCTTTACTGGGTTCAGTGTCGATTTGTGCTTCCCAGATCATTCCCGTAGCTGATATCACCGTTAAGGTTTGAGAGAAAGGAAAGGAAGAGCCTCGGTTGGTGTGGTGGTTAGCACGTGGTCCTCCGATGAGGGCAGTCACTGCTTCGATGCCCAACTGAAGCTCCGAGTCTTGCTTATGTCTCAGCTGCCTTGTACTACAAAGGCCCTTCTATCAGCCACTCATCGTTCGAATCATAAATTCAGTCCAGACAGACGGTGTCTGTTCAAAACTGTTCCTCTTGCATTGAAGCGGTGAAGTCATTCAATTTGAACAAAGTCGATGAAGACTGAGGAAAAAATTTTCATCAAGCATTCAATTACAATGAAGTCGTCATCTTTTATCATATTAAAGCTTTTGCGCAGCAGTGGACAACAATCAGAGAAGTCAACAAAATACACAGAAAATTAGAGCTTCGAATGAATCGTTTAGGGAAAACTGCAATTGGAGAGCCAGAAAAAATACACATCTAAATCGAAACGAGTAAGACACAGTTAATTTTTTACTTTAATCCACGACATGTGAAGGAAGGTAATACTTGATACTTGAAAGGCCCGCCTTCACTGGACCCCAGCATAATCTCCATTTTTCGGAGTTTTGTTGGTTAAGCCATTGTGGTTCCCTAGTATGCCGAGGTCAGCCTGATCAAAGTCTGCCGCTCCAGATCTTCATTACCACAGGCAGTTGCGGCCTTTGTGGATCAGAGGGAGATTTGCCACCATGCGACCTTGATACCAGGACGATGGTGGATCTGGTATTGGTTTACTCTTAGTTAGGCTTCCTAATAGAAACGCCGAAGGAAGGTAGTGATGGAGATAACTACAGTAATGCAAGTATTTTTAAAAAACACCATCTACAAGATAGGAGGGCACGTTCATAACCTAGGTATATCCTATATCTTTCCCACTATATCCTCGTCTGGATGCGACTTTTCGAATACAGAACAATTCTATCAGGCATCCTGCACAAGACGATCGTATAAGGAAGAAAACAGTGGAAATTTCCCTGATAGTGCATTATGTTTAACGATAACCCCCCCCCCCCCTCCCATATATTCAAGCATATATGTTGATATTCCACTCTCCATGTATCCGGATGTAACAAATTGGTACCATTTTGTCCAAGAACATAAAAATACTGACTTCGTACATCGGCAGGGTACAGCAAATGGCAATTTCGGCCAGATATGCACTGACTCACCTCTAAGACATATCTCTCCAAGGTAAATAAACTTCAATGCTTTCATCCCTCTATGCTTCTTGATCGATCGCCGAAGATTGTACGAAAGGATCAATGAATTTAATTTATTAATGAATCAGTGAAGAAATTTTTCAAAAAATCAAAAAAATGATTTTAGCATAATTTTAAATTAAAAAATATACTCCCAAGTCCGACTTTCTATTAACCTCGGCATTGATTGAATATATCTTTCTACTTCTGTTCAGCAAGCACGAGGTGCTATTTTATTTCTTTATTTACGCACAAGCTGACGTTTCGGCGGATTTCGCCTTCCTCAGAGCCTGGAAAGGTCAAGTTGATAGCAACTCACTCGGCCAGACGCCTCAATAACCAAACAAAGAAACTCTAAACCAAGATTTCAATCAGTTTGAACACAGCTTTGCACACTCACCGCTTTCTATGAGTCTTCCACTGAGTATATCGCGTGAAGACCGACCGCACAGAATTCACATGGAAGCGTAATGTGCCCCTCCCATCAGAATAACAGGTTTATATACTGCCCAATATCACGCGTGATAACAAGGCATTCCTCCCTGCGGTTCATTTTCGGATTCTTGGAATTCTTGGAAGCGCGCAAAACTTTAGAGGCATTCTGCATTAATTCCAAGAATCCGAAAATGAATCGCAGGGAGGAATGCCACATTATTACACATTATTAGTACATAAACCTGTTATTCTGATGGGAGGGGCACATTACGTTTCCATGTGAATTCTGTGCGGTCGGTCTCCACGCGATATGCTCAGTGGAAGACTCATAGAAAGTGGTGAGTGTGCAGAGCTATGCTAAATGTGATTGACTTGGTTTAGTGCTTTCTCTGTTTGGTTATGGAGGTGTTTGGCCGAATAGGTTGCTGTCAACTTGACCCTTCTAGGCTCTGAGGAAGGCGAAATCCGCCGAAACGTCAGCTTGTGCGTAAATAAAGAAATAAAATAGCACCTCGTGCTTGCTGAACAGAAGTAGAAAGATAAAAAATATACTTTCAGTATGCCTTTTATCTCACGAATCAGTGGAGAATTTACACATATTTTCTTGTTTTTTTTTCAGTATGTCTGTCAGCGAAACTGTGGTGTGGAAACATTGGACTGCAATCGTGGTGAAGTAATATTTTTGTGTAAGATCTGCTCGGAAGCTCGAGAGGTGGTTAGTTACCTAAAGTACGCTCCTCTTCCGCCTCATCAGATCATTGTTATCTTTCCGTTCTGTTGTTATTGTTCCTGTTATTTACACTGCTTGCGAACTACGCTGTTTCTTCTACAGGAGTGGAAATACGGTTTTACTCAGCTTAGACTATTATTAACAATTCATGGGTACACCCTCAATGATGTTGAGATATTTGCAATGCTCCGGACCGCAGGTGAATACTGTGAGGAACAAAGGCGCTATTACCCTTTATATCTCATATATCAAATATCTCAGCGTCATTGTGGTTGCATCACACATAATACCTTTCCGTAAAAATCTGTAATAGGCAGTAAATTGAACCTTAACATTATTGATGGGTAGTTGGGCATAGTTATTGACCAGCCAACCAGATCGAGAATAAGAAAACCGATCCGGAGAAGAAAAATGTTCATTTCGAATCGTTTAGTAAACACTGCAGAAAATGCAAATTTTGTTAAAATGGGTAATTGTGTGAAATGCTAAGCACTGCTTGTGCTCATCAATTTATCTAGAAGTTTCATAACTCTTAATGAAATTTATCCACATGAAGTACTGCCAATTCAAGATCTAATAGCGTTTTATGGGTATTCATCGTCGTCTAAAGCTCAGGAATTAAATTAATTTCGTAACCATGACTTTGCTTAAGTCGTATAACCTTGCAGTTTTGGATTGGATTTAGAGACTTTTGGAAGAGTTACCCGAGAAGATCTAGCAATTGCTAACGGCCAACTAAACACTACTCCCTTTGAAGAATCTCAATCCCAAGCCAATAAACCTCCTTCTGATCGATAAAGATGAGCAACTATTTGGGATAAAAGCTTAGAACGCTCTTGTACGTCTATATAGCGATTCCAGAGGAAAGTGACTGGACCAGCGTTCAACGATATTCGTGAAAAAGTTCAGAATCCTCAAGCTGCACCCGAATCCGCAACCGAAAATCTCAAAGGCTTTCATCGATGGCGCATAAGAGAAAATGAATCGAATAAAAGAAATGTTGGCATCATCACAACATGTTTTATCGCGTCATGTATGAAGAAATTAGGTTAAATACGGTTCAGTTTTGTTCATTTAGGTGATTTTTGAGTAGCATTGCTTGTAGTAGTTATAATTAGAGCCCACACTATTGGCTATGTGCTGGATTACGTTCATAGTCGTCTCTTCGTTGACTTCTCCCAGATGTATTCCGTCCTCTTACATCTCACCATATTCTCTCAAACTCAGTGTTGTTCCGTCTTAGCTAAATGCTTGGAATTAGCACATATAAAAACCAAAACCACGTAATATTTTTCGATTTTCAGCTATGGAAGAAGTCCGGTGCTTGGTTCTATAAAGAATTACCTGAATTTGTGCGCCCTGAAGCGAATGGTAGCGTAATTTCTCCGCTACTGCAACACCATAGATCGTCATGGTCGTCACCTACGGGCCCATCATCTTCGTCACCGCATGTTCGGCGACACCTTCCCCCAACACCAGACGAGAGGTGAGATAGGGTCTTAATGTCAGAAAAGAGAATTCTGAGGCAGCTGCTACAACATATCTCAATGTTGAGATAATCCTGAATTTTCTTCAACGTAGTTCATTGCATTCAAGAAGTGAAGGACCTATGTCTGATGGAGCAAACGATGCAATTTAACTTTTCCTGAAATGGTATGATTAGTGCAAACAAAACAAAGTCGCTTACATCATCGTTAACGGAAGCTCTTCTAACATTCTTTTGGCGAGTCGTCATCCTAATGCATCAGAAATTTGCTGAAAGCTTTTCACAAAAAAAAACTTACTGTTTCCGGTCTTCGGAATGACGCCGTTTAATAAACAGGAAGCTATTGCTCTGTTATAATGGTAATGTGTTATCGAGGTGATGTGGCGCTTTACGAAAAGGATATGTGAAATTAATCAGTGTCCTAAACACAATTTTTAATTGTTTTACGTATCAGTGTTTTAAGGCTTTAGTGTACGGCGTCTTGATTTCTTACTTTGGCAACATAACATAAATTGTACAGAGTGTTTGGAGCATCAGAGACTCTCTTGAGATCACTGCGCTCTCTATAGTAATCCCTTGACCGTAACTTTTAAGCCATGAAAGTCAATGATGGTTAGGAGGGACAAATCATCTAATCTCCAACTAGTCATCCGTTACTAATCAACTTTCAGCGCTGCAGTTATCAGAGATACTTTCTTTGAAGCAGTTCATGAATTCTGGGAGGGTACAGGGCCCTTGGCTGCAATGAAAAGTATTTTTCTCATCCAAACAAACAAATCTTTAGCAGAGCGTTGGCAGCCATTGGGTTTCCGAGTGTTTCGGCAGGATTGAAAATCTCCCTTAACAGTTTGGAAGTGCAAGAAGTTGGTGCTACTACTGTGGTCTTGAGATGCATACCACACACTCGATATGACATCCCACATTCTAATTTTCACGCTGTTCCTGCCACAATTCTTCATGATCTCGTTGGTTTCGTGCCGTGAATCTTCCTCCATATAATACTCAATTTGAGGACAAAATCACCACGCCCTCGAATTCAACCATCATGGGTGAAAGAGAAGGTGATGTCGTCGATGTCAGCCAACGATGATGACAGGTATGATTGAAATTTTAAAGCATAGCCACTGTCCAGCTTTTTTTCCTAATCTTTAACTACGCGTTTTGAAAATGGTGGAAAAAGCCCGCCGAAGAAACTCTCGCCGAAGGCATTTTTTTCAAACCAAGGAAGAAACGGTCTTCTTTGCACAGCGAGATTTTGGTGCCTAAAATTTTAGAGTCGTTTGTTATTCAACCAAACTTGATTCGGAATTGAATTTAAGAAGTTCATCGGAAGGCGAGTTTGCTGCGTCCGGAGTGATCAGACGAAATCATAAGCCGGCGACGACTGCAAGGCGAGCAGAGAATCCAGCCCTGCTTGCGCTACACAACGCTCGAATCAGTGATAGCGGTGATTTGTTTTGTGATATTTCACAGATTTGAGGAAACTGTTATGTTGTTCCCAATTTCGAAACATTGCTGATTTTGTTCACAAAGGACTGCCGTAATGGTAAAATTATAAGCAAATGGAAACATTCATCTAGGAGCTTGAACAAGCCATTAGTGAGGTAGATGTACTTAACTCCTAGTATTTAATTATTGAGTTATCTTAGTATCGGTACTGTCTTAGTATTCTGTAAATTTGTATCTCAGTATTTTATGCCTATTGCTAAACTGGAGACCTATCCCAATACATCCTGTATGCAATGATACAAATTCGAATTCCTTATGGCCATTTAATCTGCCACAGACAGTATATTTGCTGTGTTCTTCCTAATCTAAGCACTCTGAAACTTGCAGAGGACATTTTTGGGATGAATTTTCCAATGCACACTACGTGCGATGAGTGACACCAGATCAGCCGTCACACTGCCCATCTAGACGTGGTCGTGTAGTTGTTGGTGCTGTGCAATTTAGAAACCTATATGTGTATATATACATATATACATCCGAAAAATACGTGTTAGTCTGGCACCGATCTTATGTATTCTAAACTGCCTGAAAGAAAGGTGATGCTGAGCCGCCTCGATTGGTGTGGTGAATAGCACTTGAACCCCAGGAAATTCTAATAGCGGGTTCGCAGCCCAACTGAGGTTCAGCGTTTTGCTCATATCTCGGTATCTTTGTTGTTTTAAATGACAGTATTTAGAAGAGGAATCGTCACCGGACTCGAGAGCCTCCACAAGATCCACGTCTCCACGTCGTTCACTAGCCACTCCGTCGTCTTACGATTCCACTCACAATCAGACCGCTCCGCCCACTCATCCCGATGATGCGAGAAGTATTGACAGCGGAGGTAATCGGAGTCAGTTTATTATCATTGTTATGTTTCTTCTTTTTTGGCGTAATTTTTTAAAAACATGGTGCCGAGTGATTAGGGTTGATACCTAGGTTGTCTTGATGAAACTCATCGTTTACGCAGAATTTTGTTTTCGTCGTGGTGTGGGCAGTATGTCGACGGATTAGTTTTACATTGTCTGAAGCATACGTCAGCTCACCACTATTATGTTATGTATTCCAGCATAAGCAATAATTGGTTTAAGCCATAATACTGTTTCAAGTGACTTGGTGAAATAATGGCTTCAAAAAATAATATTTTTGCTAGGCGAACTGCAACGGAGAGATGGAAGCTGCTTGTTTATTGTATGAAAAAGCAGGCCTATGAGTTGTTTTTGATGCGTTGATAATGGATCTTTCTTGATTCAGTGGTGCAATCGGACCATTCGAATCCACAGCAAGCAATGGCGCTGTCCGTCTCGTCGCTGGCGCCGTTTTCTTCGCCAGCTACCGTCGAGATGCCTCCCATCCGAAGAGTCAGTCAAGCAGAATTGTCGACGATGAGTGTCTCCAAAGTCGCAACGTCATTGTCTGGTTGGTGCCACGTTAGTAGTTCATTTATTTATATCAATCTTTAAACTTTTATGAAAACTGTTTTTCGACCAACTTCTGGAGCACTTCTTCGATTGTGACCTTGCACTCTTTTGCTATTGGTAACCATAAGGTTTGAATCTGGGTTAACAATGTAGTATTATTGATAATAAGAGCAATAATAGGGGCAGGTGTAGCGAGGCTCTAAAAATCTCGGGCAAAGCATCGGTGAGTCGTTGGTTCGTTCCCGTGGTGCGAACTTACCAAGCCTTCCATCCCTCCCGAGTCAGCAAATTAGCCCTAGACTTGTATGGGAGATGACAACATGAATTTGATACATTAGTATTCCACCGCAAGTTATTATAGAAGTATGCATTCGATCACCTCTACGATGCTTCAAGAAGGCTGATGTAAGGCGCGTCCATCAGGGGTTGGTCAACGGCAAACACTTTCTCCTTTATCCGTTAATAACAACAATAATATATCTCTAATAACCGACTTCTGATTATCCTCGGTATGAATAAATAATAGATAATAATAGATCATCATCCATCTTGTATAAAAGGACACCGTGAGATTCTTCATTCGGCCGGTGCTCCATTTCATTGGGTATCTCGATGCGACAACGAACACCCAGATCACGATAGCGACACCTGTGGACCATCGATTCGGCTCATCGTAGCTCCGAAGAAGACGACGATGTCTAAACGTTAGCCGAATAAATATTTTCGTACCAATCTCGGGTTAGCTCACTACTCCAAAAAAGTACAACAATAATTAGTATACCCGTGTTCCGGTCTGATCCATTCCAGTCCCTAACAAGCCTCTCGTCTCTTTGGGGTCTGGAAATTAGTACCAGACTTGTTTGTAAAAACGCACTACTTTTAACCCACTTGGGACCGCTCTAGCGACACCTCCTTCGGATTCTACTCGGAATAGACCTGACCAGTTTTTAACGACATTTGTGACGAAGTTGAAAAAGTGCTCGCGCAGCGGTTGAAAGCGCACCCAGAAAAAGTTCGATGGCTTTTGCGGATACTGGAGGCGAGGAAATGAATCGAATGCAAGAAGTACTGGGATCCGCAAAATGTGATCGATGTGATATCGGGTTATCTAGTACTTGTAATAACTAAATAATTAGAAAGGCGCTGCAGTTTTTTGACGCGTTTTTCCTGCCTTCATCGATATGAAGTACAATCTTACCAAACTTATCTCACACTAGGACTTCCACTGTGTCAAATCCGCTTATCGAACTTCCGGACTTCTCATTTCAGTATAGTGGAAAAAGTTAGAACTCGTGCCCTAGTCTTTCTAATCGTTCTCGAAAAGTATACTACAGCTAGACCTCAATCAATTCCTTTCATTTTTCGATGTCAAAGATAGTTTTTGGTATTCAGTGACTTTCCAAATTTTGGAAGTTCAGACGTATTTGGAAGATTTTTAATAGTTTTCGAGTTTACAATAATACTTCACAAGGACTGTATCTGATGTATGATGAGCGAAAAGACCTTTTCTTTAGATGAATCAAGTTTAGAAAACATAACCAAAACGTTGCTGAGATATTTGCAAAACTCTGGGCCGCAGGTGTCTATGGTGGGAAACGAACGCGTTATTGTCCTTTCCGGGGGGTAACGCGTTCACCACCACACCATGCGGGTCCTTCGTTTCTCAGCTATTTCTATTGATCTTAGCCACAGCAATCACCCGTCAGCAGGATTGATCTGGGGTGCCCAAATCGGCATAGAACCCAGTTAAGCTGTGGTTGTAGGGAAAGATCAATAGAAATAGCTGAGAAACGAAGGACCCGCATGGTGTGGTGGTGAACGCGTTACTCCCCGAATGGACAATAACGCGTTCGTTCCCCACCATAGACACCTGCGGTTCAGAGTTTTGCAATTATCTCAGCAACGTTGTGGTTGTATTTCGCTTAGTACCCTGCCGCGAAATTATAATAGGCAGAAAATAAAAAGGTGAAACATTAGAAAACATATTTCAGGATGTTCATTAGTGACTCCGCCCCCGATACCTCCAAGAACGAGTCCTGTGCCATCTTTAGATTTGCTTTCTAGAAAGATTAGTATCAGTTCTGCGGCAAGCACTAAAAGAGCTGGAACATCCAACGACAGTGTGAACGTACTCGAGCCAACGAAGCAACAGGTGAGCTTTTCTCAACTAAACTCTCAACTACGATAGTGCACTTCTTGGTCAATGGTTGTGCGATTGATACTCATATTTGTCCGCTCTTATTAATTCGCTGAATAACTGACTAAGATTCTCCTTCTTAGGTGAATTTACAGTGGTCACTTGTGGAGAGGCAAATGGTTAATCTTTTCTAAACATTTGTGCCTGAGTAATCGTTTCGTAATCAATGAATTCTCGATAAGCGCATTGGAAATGTGTGTAGGAAAACCTTATCCATGCATAACTCGCCTGAATACACTTAACTGCAAACTTTTACTGGATTGTTTACGTCTAAATTGAAACTATCCTGTAAGTTTGTGAAGTAGTTTGCGATAGACTCAGCAAACTGCTGACACGATCATGGAATTTTACTTAGAGCTGGATTAATCAGGTAAAGGAAACTACTCCTTCAAGAACGTCATCATAGGTGATATCTCAGGAAAACATACGAACACATCCATGGATTTGAATACAGAAATGATGTGAAAGGATGTTTGAGCTGATCGTCAGGCCGAAACCAATGAACACGTACTTTCAGGATTCTACTTTCTGGCTTTGTAGCGAAAATTATCTTATGAGAGTGGTCGCATCATCTTATTAGATTATTAAACTAGCCCGAGGTTGATAAAGATGTGTATTCGGCTGTTTCGCCGTCTTCGTCTTCGTCAAACCCGATGATCTAGCCGATAGTCTAAAGTCGTTCATCTTCTCGTTGTTGATTTTCGTCGTCATATCGAGTCGAACCTCCTCTACCGCTTGAATGGGTTAACCTCATCCGACAAAGCAGCTGTCTTGTACAGGACAGTTGTTATTAATAATGACCATCCGTTGATAATAATTTGTTTTTTAAAGGATAATCCATCAGGCAGCAGTCGGTATTACGTTAGGTAGGACATACCGAACAGCAAAGCAATATTGTTTCACTCTACTGAAGAAGATCCGACTCGATACGATTACGAAGACACCACATCGAAAAGACGAACGATTGCGGACCATCGACTCGGGATCATCGGATCTAATGAAGATGAAGACGTCAAAAGGCTAACCGAATAAACATCTTTATCAATCTCGTGTTAGCTTCGTAATCCAAAAAGGTGCTGATTGTAAGTGCTGAGGTTAAATAGCGGTTGGTTTCAACAATATAATCACATTGCCTTCATTCTAATTTTGTGTCTAAATGATCTTGCTACTATCCTTGAGTTCTCTTTGGAGGCAAATCACATTGTCATCGCAAAAATCGGGGCACCTTAAGGTTAGAAAAACGATATCTCACTTTTTTGCCCAAAGGCATTACTTTATCAATGTTTTACCATTACTTACAAATCATTTGTGGTTGAAGAACATGGGATACTACCTTAGAGCCTCCACGTAGAACACCTGCAAATGTTGACAGCAGCCGCTTGGATTAGGACTCTGTGGAGATTTAGTAAGAAAAAAGTCTTAAACAAAGAATATTCCTCTTTAAATCTACAGCGAGCAGTAGAAAAATCAGCAATGCTTGCTAGAGTCTCACCAATCGCAAGGAAAATTTACCTACTGTTGATCTCTACATGGAGCGATCACTGTATCCAGAGCGGTCATATCAGAGAGTCGTATCAACGACTTGGATGCCTTGGACATATGCTTTCACATCACCTCACGGAGGACAAATGCATCGTTACAACGATTCTTCTCCCAATTTCCGACATACTATCCTATCGGGAAAGGATTATATAAGACCCGTTTCTCACAAGCATCAGTTTTGATCGGAGCACTGACTGAGCTTTAAGCAAACATGTTGGAATTCGATATAGTTAGCCGATGAAAAATCAGGAGCATAGTGTGGTACAAAACAGAAACCTAGCTAATATATGTTGTAAAGTTTTATTTACTATATGTCATCTACTAGCTCTTTACCTACGCTATCCTCAGTACAGGGGGCGCGTAACGCGCAGTGGTCGGAGACGCCCTGCAACACGCACGTGGGGTCGATCCTCTTGCCCATGGCCCCCCATGCCCTCTATCCCTCCGGGATCGGCAAATTGGTACCAAACCTGTCTGGGAGGATAGCAGCACTGCCTCGATATTTCGGCAGCCAACCGCGAGTCATTGTAAAGGCCAGATATGCATTCAATCACCTCGAAACCATACTTAATTAAGTCGAACGCATGGCGCATCTCTCAGGCATTGATCAACGCCGAGAGCTTTATCCTCCATCGGTTTATCCTCAGTACGGTTGAGAGAGTGCCGAATTAGAAAAACAACCTTGTGAGCAGGCAGGATTTCAAGGCAGATTCATCGTGTGAAACAAGACATAAAGAGCGAATGGTGTAATAGTCGTGTTTCCGGAATCGAAAGAACTTACTTCTCAACTTTAGGGACGAATAGAGATTTCATCTATGTTCGCTCGAATGATGATTTTGTTAATGAGAGAATTTGAAATTATTTCTTGGAAGAACTTCAGTGAAATAGAAACTGAAGACGTTGACTTTTCAGCAAGAGCGGGTGGATTCACCATCGCCGTCATTTATGAGTTCACCGGATGACGACTCAAGTACGAAATCTTTCCGCTATTCCTTAATACAAAAAATATTTTCAATTCTTCTTCACCTCACAGGTTTTTCATTTCTTCCATTTCGTATTCACTCTTATCACATTGTTTTCTTCTTCAACCGGAGAAACCGTTTGCCTTCAGTGTTTCAATTTGTCCAGTAGCTTATGTGATGAGTGAGAATCAAATTTCTTTCGACTAAACACTGCCGGTTCAGATTCTTCTCTTCACGTTTGATATTCTTAGCTTTCTCTGGCCATTTAGAAATTTCTGCAGCACATTTTTATTCACTACTATTTTAATACGAGGTCATCTTTATGCTATTTAAGAGCACATTTCTCTGTGTCGTCGCTGAAGTTCTTCTCATTTTTAATTATGATTTTGTCCTAAAGAAAAGTCATATGCGCTGAATAGACAGACTTCAAATGGAACTTCTCTTCTCCTCGAATTTTTTTCGAGAATTTCTATTTTTTCTAATAATATGTTACCATCTAGCTAAATTAGAAATGCTTGAGCTGGGATTATTTGTTGTCTACAAGGCACAGTTTCAAACGGTAACCAATCCCTCTCTTCTTTATTATCTCGTGCGGTGCTTCGTTTTCTTTACTGGGTTTGTGGGTTTTTGACTCCGCACCTAAATAACTGTAACATTTGGACTATTCGCTGGGAACCCGAGTTAAATTTGGTTCTCAGGTTGTCCTTAATAAGCCAATAAATTCAGCACAAACTCACAGCACCCTGCTTTTATTTGCACACTAGTAGAAAAACAGACACAGTCGCGGTTTTCCAGGTTTCTCTTCCCTTCTCACCAATCAACCCCATGCATTTTTTCCCTGTACCTTAACAATTCAACCAGATTTTTGTGTTTTCTATCAGTTTTGTAATGTTCTCTCCATTATATAGCTCCCTACTTTTTGACCATACACGTCTAAAAATGGGCACAATATTTTACGGTAGAAGATACAGTACCGTGATAGTTCCTGAAACGAAGCGCGCCAACTGGTCTGTTCAGAGTCACGCGCGCGTCGCCGTGCGCCGCTCGTCCACCGCAACTTGTCGGCGACGAATCACGCTTCATCTTTGGCGACGACACTCTTCAAAAGTGATGAACCGATAACAACCACCAGTGCTGAGAGTTCAACACCTGCCACAGCACCACGACATTACTCTCCGGATGAAGGCACAAGCACGAATGCGCTCATCACAACTATGGCTGATACTTCGCGACCCGGTTCGGCAATTCGTCGACGCATTCATACTATTTCATCATTGCTTCTCCGCCTCCTTCCACATCATCGTATGCTCACTTTTCCTTGAAAAAAAGATACAACTTCACATTGTTTTGAAGAACCGGTGTGTGTGCGGAGGAAGGCAGTACTTGCATGTTGCGGTGTAGATTTCATAATAATGAATGCTTTCTGAAAATTAGCCTGACCATATACGCATGCGTATGATTTCAATACATCTACATTTCAGTTCTACCTTCTTGCTCTTTCTGCATTCTCACTTCTCAGCATACTGTCGGTTATCTACAGCACTTTAGGTACACTCGGCTCAATACAATTTTCCGTTCTGTACAATCTTGAAGAAAAGAAACTGACTGTGCATTTGATTCGGGCGAAGGTACGCAGATTTCTAATTTATGAAAATAACATGCTGCCTAATTATTTTTAAATGGTACTGAAGTTAGTTGAATGTGTGAAATACTAGTTTGGCTTAATAACCATAACTTTGTCTCGGACTCAAACTTTGTAATGAGGATGTAATCATGTTGTGATTTTGACTGTGGCTTCAGATTAGCTGGGTTCATTGCCAATTTGGGCTCTTGAGATCATTTCCGTTGGTGTGTGATTGCTGATATAATCGATAGGGTAAAAACATTGCCAACAGCAAGGTAAAGCATGGACCTCTGTCGGTATGCTAGATAGTCGCGGGTTCGAAGATCGGTAAGGGTTCCAAATTTTCCACATATTTCACCTAGTGTGCAACTACATTCCGTTTTGCTAACGGATCCGAGGCACGGCTGCCCGGTTGGGTTTCACTTCCGATTTACCCCGTTCCATGTTTCGTGGAACTTTCTCGACAGCGATGCTAAATTGTTGTTAATGAGACTTCTTCTCAAAGACAACGTCTTCTCTTTGTATCGACAATATCATTGTGAATTTGCAAAATAGAAGGTGTAAAGGTGCTTAAATACTCCGAACGATCTTTTTCAGATGAGTAGAGGCTAATGAAATACTGTGACATCTTGTATCCTAGCAATTTCTTATGGATTTTCACGTTTCTACAGATGTGATCTGTGGTTTATTTAAACTTTTAAAACCTCGTCCATTCATAGGGGAACGAATCCGATGCAAGAGGTGCTGGGATCTGCGCAGTATACGTGAAGACCGGTCGTGTAATTCAATGAAACATCTGTTCGTATGAGTTCATCTCCAAACTCATATGAATACTTGACCCAGTTTTCTGTCCATATTTTTGGAAACTCAAACGAAACGCTTGCTGACAACAGGCAGCTGGCAGATTGGACGATAGTCGCTGATGTCATGTTAGTTTCCTTTCTTGCAGAGCAACATATCTGCGTTGCTACTTCACTGACTGAATACCTCGAACTTCCACCTAACACCATGTGAATAATTGGACCAATGGTTTACTGAGGATTAGCAGCAGGCTACTTAAACGGGATTTGATCATTTTAGGGCAAGATGGTTGATCAATGAGATTCAAGTCCTATCATATTTTATGTTTTTCTTCGCTACCATAAAGGCGTTTGGTCGATGAAGTGTCTCCTTTTAAACTGGTTCGACAACGTTATTTTTCGCATTTCTTTCTTGAACCCTTAGTTCCTCAAATGAAGTTTTCGTTTTAAACATGCGTGCCTCTTAAATACAAATTGCTGCAGATATTTCCTATTAGAGTTCTAAGACTTCACCAGTCCTTTCTCATCCGACCCGTTTAATGTATTCGTGATCCTGTGACCTCGGAAAATCCCTCACTTTTTCCGTTTCTCGAGAGATGCCGAGTGGTAATTTGCTGAAATGTGAAGGCGGAACTAGTTCTGTGGCTTACGGCACAGCATATAGAAAGAGTCACTCCCTGTATCCACATGCATCCATGGCAGTATATTTTTCTTCTTTATTTAAAACCATGCTCGTTGCCCGAAGGTGCGCTGCGTATCCGCGTTCCATAGCCTCCATGAGAAATCCAATCATTGTCACTGGATTGTCTTATCCAAACATTCCCACGTAATTTAAAAGCACAGCAAGATCTTTTTATGACATTACTTTTCGCAATTCCCGCAATTTTTAGAATCTGAAGGCGATGGACAGTAACGGTTTCTCGGATCCCTATGTAAAACTACACCTATTGCCTGGAAACGCGAAAGCTACAAAACTAACATCAAAAACGATTGAGAAAACTCTTAATCCCGAATGGAATGAAGAACTATATTATTACGGTGTTACGGAAGAAGACAAACAAAAGAAGACTTTGTAAGCCTCAGTCGTACTACGATAGTACTACAAAACATTTTCCTATGTAATTAATGCCCTATACAGGCGAATCACGGTACTGGATCGAGATCGCATCGGATCCGATTTTCTTGGTGAAACACGAGTTGCGTTGAGAAAACTGTCCATGAATGTACCGAAAAAATTCAATCTGTATCTTGAACATGCCATTCCGGTAAGTCAAAATTCGCTGAGGATTTAGTAAATAAGAAGTATTTCTGTGTATTTCAATGTCTGTCTAACATGCAGATTCAACAACCTCCTCACGATAGCGAGATGATTCGAGGCAAAATTCTGGTCGCCCTACAATATAATATCCAGCAAGGTTATTGAGCTTCTGTTTTAAAAGGAAATCTTCGTCTCTCCTAGCTTTTTCGCCGAAACGAAAACTACTTAAGCTTTTAGATGCTTTAAGGTTCTTACCTCTTGAAGTTTCCTTGAAAGTTAAAAAAGTCATGTAGAATCAGTTCTCTTCGCATTTTCTTAAGTAATATTTAGGCTCGTTGTTTGTAACGATAAAACGTTGCGTTGAGCTGATAGGTATGGACTCAACAGGATTTTCGGATCCATACTGTAAAGTGTGAGTGCTTCTTGAAGTTGTAAAGATTTATTATTTTTTGAATGCTGAGATTCTCCCTCTGATCCACATGGGCAGCGACTGCCCATGAAGGTGACGACCTGGGACAGACTGGCCCAGGATGACCTCGGGATTCCAGGGAACTACAATAGCTAGACCGACAAACCTCCAAGAAAATGGAGATTATGGTGGGATCCGCACAAGCAGTGAGGACGGGGCATCCAAGTACCCAAGTTGAATGCTTAGATTCTGCACATCTACATCTCTGTTTAGTAATGTTCTAGTCAGTCGTAAATACAACGATGAACTAAAACTCATTACATTAGCCATTCTAGTGGGCAAGCGTTTCCACTGATTTAAGTTCTAATCGTTGATTGGTGGCCAGAATGGTTTTTGATGTCAGTTATATAAAGCCTTCTACGAGTAAGCCGATGGAGAAAAGAGCACTCTGCTTTTTGCTGAGAACTTCTTTGCTAACAAAAAATTGAAACGAGTCAAACTTAACTGTAAATAGCAATGGAACGTGAATAGAACCAACGTCCTTGCTCCCAGGAATGTCACCTCACCAAGTGGCGCCATCGTCACTACAATCAGTCAGCTATGATAAACCGTAATAATTACTCAGTTCCCTTCTTACGTCAGAGGTTCGCAGTGAGCTCCACTTGTTCGAGCTACACGAAGACCACCACATTTTTGGCGTCAAGGTCCTTTATTCGCAGCATTCCTAGTGAAAACATTGTCACACAGAGCTCGCCATACTCTACTATGGGATAGGTTTCCTCTTAACTGAGTTTTCGAATAGACGGCGAAAAAGAGCTCAGGTTCGGTAGCCCTGCAGAAGGATGGACCCTAATGCACATTTCAGTTTGGTACTCGAGAGCACACCACACCTCACCTTTGATGTAAAGATAAACCATGGCGAGGACTTGATGAGTAAAAAGATGAATTTGAGGAAATTTTAAGAGCTACGAAGGTTGAAGACGTTTGTGTTCTATTCTATCTCACCCTTCAACGAAGTTGTAATGTTTGCTTCTCAAATTTTTTCTTATGATTTACATGTTTAGCTATGATCTAAAGAAACTGGAAACAATTTTCACATGAAGTTGGATTGCTTTGCTTTGATATTCTGCCCGTATTCACGTGTCCTCAGTACTACTCATAGTTTGCGCAATAATATGGACAATCCTATAATTTTATAGCTTTGAATGGTCTATTTCTGATCCTTCTGAAATCAGTTCCATTTTTGCTCGCGGTAGTAAGAAAAAAGTTTTTGTGTTACCTTTTTAACTGCTCCTTAAGTTTGAAGGATAAACTTCAACCATTTGCAATTTCCGTGTTTTTCAGTTCATTGACACCCATCACTTCAAAAGCTCACAGGCAACGTACGTCGACCAAGAAAAGAACGCTAAATCCTGAATTTAACGAGGTAATTAGTTTAGGCTTAACCGATGCCAATCTCTTAACAAAAAACTCATGCAGTATCCTCTAAAAAACATGTAGTATAGATTTTGGTTTTCATGCAAAACTTTCTGACTTTCTGACAATCGTAATCGAAACCAATCACATCTTGTTTAACCTTTTTATTTGCTGTCTATTACAATTTTTCTTAGAAGGGCATTATGTGTGATACAACCACAATGATGCTGTGATATTTGCAAAACTCCGGACCGCAGGTGTCTGCAGTGGAGGACGAGCGCGCTATTAGCTTTTCCTGGGCTAACGCGTTCACCACGACGCTCTGTTTCTCCGCTGGTTCTATCGATCAATGTCATCAGCAATCACCCGTCGAGGGACCCGCATGATGTGGCGGTGAACTCTTTAGCCCCTGGAAAGGCTAAAAGCGCGTTCGTTCCTTACCGCAGGCACCTGCGATTCGGAGTTTTGCAAATATCTCGGCATCATTGTAGTTGTATCGCACATCTTGCTTGATTGACTACGTTCATGCATTTCCACTTATCTATTCAGTAGTTTTTCACCACTAACATATTTTTAGTCTTATAAATGTTTACATTGGAAAACCACTTGGATTTTTTCAGGTATTAGTTTACTTACGAATTTCAGACGCTCACTTTCATCGTTCCGTTCAAGGATTTACCTAAGAAGACGTTGCAGATCGGCGTATACGACCATGACCTCGGTAAACACGACGACTATATTGGTGAGCTAATTTATAAACGGATTTGCAGTAAACTTACTGTTGAAAATACCACTTCTACAAGACAACGGAGCTGTTTTGGTTTCCAGAATCTCCGTTTGCTATAGAATGTAACGTTTGTCCGACGGACGTATTTTCTCGCATCCTCTCAACATCAGCTTGTATCTGTAGGGTTGTAGATTATATGTTCTAATATTACTTACTCACTGTAAACTTCAACACTTCTTGCTTTCTAAACCTAATACAAGCAGAGTTTGCAAGAAAAGTTCGCATTGAGCACAAACACGTCTGAGAAATTAGTGAAAGGATAGTCGGTGATCATTTTCAAGGTGGTATCGTCTTGTCGACATCGGCTAAAGATGAACGAGGTAAGCAGTGGTGTAACTGCATCAAAAATCCCGGTCAAACATTCGAAATGTGGCACCAGCTTCAACTCGAGGACTAGAAGATGGACAACGAGTTAGCGCTCTCAATGTTCCTCAGGTTTTCTATTCTTCCGACACCAATGCCCTTACTTTTAACTGTGTTTTCATTTTTCGCTCGCATTGTCATGCTGTGCATAACTCTCATCCAGTTTCCTTTCATTTTGCATTAAAGTCATTCCCTTAGCTGCATGGCAGATTTCCTTATGATATTCACTTTTCGGGTTTTGCAGCCGTATCATCCGCCCCAACTCCAGGTAGGGTTTATTGCGTTAGTCTGGCTAGTTATTGTGTAGATATCACTCTCACTCGTTCATTCATTCATCCATTCATTCATTCATTCATTCATTCATGTCATTTCATCACATTCCTTTATCCACTGTAGAAAATGTTTGATGTACTTCATGCCTATGTCATTGATCAATAGTTTGAATACTGGTGTTTTCTGTTAAACGGTGTAAGCAATTCAGAACTCTATCATCCCAGCAGAACTTGCAGATATTGATTTTCGTATAAAGATTAACATTATTACTGATATATTATTAATAAACAAATTCTTGCTCCTGCTCTTTGAAATCAAGTGACAAGTGGATTACGTTAGACGTTTCTTAAGTCGTCGAGAAGGTTCTGCGATCGTAAATCCTCAAAAGAATGTATCCGTGTCGACTTAGTAAGTAAGTATAAGTATAGTAAGTATACTTAGTGGAGACCTCATAGAAAGCGGCTCTGAAGAAGGCGAAATTCGTCGAAACGTCAGCTTAATCGTGAACAAAGAACAATAACACCTCGCGTTTGCTCAAAAAAAATACGAACAAAATCACTTGATCAATGCCGAGGTTAATAGAAAGTCGGTCGTGGCAGTTACTGCTAGTATTAGTCTACACCTTTCCTGAATCACTTTCTTTCTTCGACCTGGATATCGGCTGAAATAAACAACACAGCTCAAAGTCCTAACAGTTTCTTTTGTAGCAGCAAGTATTAATCACGTCATAGTTAATTTATTTGAAAGCTATAGAGCTTAGAGTGTTTACAGGCCTTTTGCTATGTTGTTGCTATTGAACACGAACTGCTGAGACCGTGAGACTGCGATAAAGCTGGACCTCTAGATTTTCCTTTTGAAAAACGAAAGTTCGCGAAATCAGATATTCCTGGTCCTGGCTTTGTTTTCATTTTCAAAACAAAAAGCCCCATAGATTATTTATTGTGACACTCCCGATTTTACAGTATCATTAACGATTCGAATGCTCTGGAATGACACCGTGAACTCGCAGAAGCCTTATTAATGATCGAACTGGCGATGTAACCATTGACTTTTGCTGAGATATTTGCAAAACTCTGGACCGCAGGTGTCTATGGTGGGGAACGAACGCGCAATTATCCTTTCCGGGGAATAACGCGTTCACCACCACACCATGCGGGTCCTTCGTTTCTGTGGCAAAAAGATCGATAGAAATAGCTTTGCTGTGGCAAAAAGATCGATAGAAATAGCTTTGCTGTGGCAAAAAGATCGATAGAAATAGCTNTTTTCTGCCTTCTGTAATTTTCATGGCAGGTTACTAAGCGAAATACAACCACAACGTTGCTGAGATATTTGCAAAACTCTGGACCGCAGGTGTCTATGGTGGGGAACGAACGCGCTATTATCCTTTCCGGGGAGTAACGCGTTCACCACCACACCATGCGGGTCCTTCGTTTCTGTGGCAAAAAGATCGATAGAAATAGCTGGGAGACAGGCGAAACGAAGGACCCGCATGGTGTGGTGGTGAACGCGTTACTCCCCGGAAAGGATAATAGCGCGTTCGTTCCCCACCATAGACACCTGCGGTCCAGAGTTTTGCAAATATCTCAGCAACGTTGTGGTTGTATTTCGCTTAGTAACCTGCCATGAAAATTACAGAAGGCAGAAAACAAAACGTTAAACATTGACTTTTGGTTAAGAAGGACGTTAGTATGTTGCGTTTAAATGTTTCGATATGAAGATGAGTGGTTTTTAATATGTAGAAAATTGTGAACACCTGTTTCCATCGATAATCTCTGTTTGAATACACCGGCGTAAGCGGAATCGCGTACAAACGATCTAATGGATGGGCTAGATGTGGGGTGAACAGTACAAGCGGACCTCATACAAGTTAAATAATCAGAAGAATAAAGAATTGTAAAGTCGACAAATGGGCACGGTTTGAATTGAACGGTACGCTAAGTAATCACCATTATGAGGATGTGTCGCACTCCTTTATTTTAACCTTTTCGCACAAAGCCGATTTTTCAATAACTGACGATAATTTCTCGATTAGAGGGCTGATAGCATAGTGGTATCAGTGTCTGTCATCACGAGCATGGTGCTAATTCGATTGCACTCCTGGCCAACTAAGCCTCTCATTTCTCCGGGGTCAGGAAATTAGTGTCGAACTTCTCTGGGAGAAAACCACTCTCTACACTCCTATTGTAAACGCTCCAGCTCGCCTATCTCAGGACTGCACAGAAAACTGCTCGACCAGCATTCTAAGACTTTCAAGATGAAATGAAAATCCTCAAGCAACAACCGAAGCCACGCGTAAAAATCTAGAAGACCTTCGTGGACAATGGAAGCGAAGAAACGAACTGAATGCGACAGTAGACGTTAAGACAGGTCAAATAAAATAAAAGAAATTTTTCGATCACTAGAGTACTTCAGGAGTTAAGGACTCCATAAGCTTGAAGCACACGCTTTGCTCTGTTACATTAATCGCGTATACAAGTTTAACACCGTATCCTTCTAAATTCAAATATGTTTGGAGCCGACACTTCAAAGAAAAAAAATGACAGGAAAATGTATTTTAAACGACCAATGGAACAGCGGCAGTTGCAAACATGTACAATATAGACTATGAAACAGCATCATGTCAGCTGGACAAAATCGGCTTGCTCCTTAGCTTTCGTGTTCAGAATATGAACTATGAAGCTTAAAGAAGTTGAAAACTATGTGTAACGAGTACCAAAAAGTTAGAATTTTATCATGCTAGAGAAGACTTATTCGTTGTTTGAAAGGGATTAACTGGACGTTAAAAAATTGGAACCACTTTTTTTTTGGGTTCCCTTGAGTGAAATTTACACTCCGACTGTCAACGCAACAACTTGAAACACTTATTCATCAGCACTCGCAGAGATGACAGATGACAACAGTTTTGGTATATCTACAGCTAGCACTGGCCGACGAACGAGAAATGAAACTTCTTCCTTTGGCATGAAGGCGATGGCAAGACTTGGTAAGCTGTTTCACTGCCAATCCGCTGATTTGTTCGCAATATTTCCTGCACCATTTAGAGATCAAGCATTTTAAGAACTTCTTCAAGAGGACAATAAGCTGCTGAATCGATAGACTATGCTTGTTCATTACTCCTTTATTGGTTTGGAAACCTATTGGTCTATTCCTCTCCGTTTCGACTCAACGGTACTTCCTGCCTTAACGTATGCATCAAAAAACCTGGTCGCTACGTAAGCAGGATGAAAGATCACTCAGCGTTATTGAACGCGCAGTCGAAAGCACGATGTTAGGAGTATCCCGTTTCACACAAGTAAGGAAAGGGATCCGAACCTGCGACCTCCGTCAACGATGAAAACCTGGATTCCTCGGGATGTTAAACGCACTGCAGGAAGACCACCGACCCGATGGCCAGAGTTCTTCACAAAAAGCCTAAGTTGAGATTTTAAAACGGCAATATTGACAAATTTATTTCTACGAGCGGAAGCTCGGGCGTAGTGCAGCGCAAGTAGCTCAAAATATTAATGTGGTGTGAAGCCGAGGAAGTGTTTACGGCACAGCAGTGCGATGGTGGTTTGAAAAATTTCATTGCGGCCTACTTGACTTTCAAGATTAAGAGGGTCGCGGACATCATTCTGCTATTGATGACGATGATTTAAAGGCTTCTCTCTGAGAAAATGCGAGTACAACCGCAAAGTTGCTGAGATCCAAGCGACACTCAGGACCTCAGTTTCGCATCGAACCCACGATTATCCTTTCCTGAGTCCCACCTGTTCCACTACACCAACCGAAAGCTTCACTTTCCTTTCTCTCAGTCAGTTTTTTTTTACTTTGACGGTGATATCAGCAATCACCCTTCAACGTGAATGATGTGTTGAGCTCAAAACCGCATTAAAACAAATTGAGCCGAAACTGAAGTGGAAATCATAACGTGTTAACTTTTATTTAATACTTACTCTTTTTTAATGGTAGGGTGTGATGCCTAATACAAACACAAGGGTGCTGAGATATAGGTAGTTAATGAAAGTTAAGACACACTCAAATGCTGCGATCTTGTTGTTTTTAAGCAAAGTAAGCAAGAGACAATAAATAAAAGATTGGACATTGTCAAGAAACATCCAAGCAAGCTGAAAAGTCGAAGAAACCTGACACATTATCGGTACGCGAATAAAGTGACAATCAAAGAAGACTCACTAGTTAGACTGAGACGAGGCGCTACAGCACTTCTCAAAGCCGAAATTGCACCAAAGAAAGGTTGTGCTGCTTTTTCAGAACCCTGCAGTGCCACACATCGCACTTTGGACGATGAAAGATTGAGGGAGCTGGGACACGAAACTCTGTCTCTTCCACCATGTTCGTGGAGCTGAAGCCTGCTACTACCTCCTCAAACATCTGGACAATATTGCGCGCGAGAAATGCTTTGAAAAGCAAGCCGAGACCCAAACCGCCTTCACCACTTCGTTGCCTCCAAAACTTTAACGCTTTTGGAAAACCAAGATAAATAAACATTTTTCTTGTTGGCAGAAATGGGTAAATTCTTGCGCTTTTTATTTCTTTTAAGAGCGCTCTTGCTGAACTGAAATAAGCCAGCTTCAGAATACAGGTAGAACTCGGCCATTAATTTCTGAGGAATCTCATAAAAATATTGACGAAATCGTGTCAGCTTACCAAGAACGTGGTAAAGTAAACAAATTACTGTCAAAAATTGTACCAAGATCTGAGTGAATACGAATTATTCGTAGATTGAACGCCTGTGTAAATAGCGTAACGCAATATGGCTTC